GTCAACCCGATTAGAGGAGGCAGAGACAGGACACCTTCCAGGGAGTCTACTCTTGACGTAGATGGTAATACATGGTAGTAGTCCCAGTGTCACGTCGAGCACAGCACACGACGAGACAACTCGAGGTGGGGGCAGGAAGGTGGACAGGACCAGGGGTCCTTCCCCGCTGTCACGTAGCTTCCGCCCGGGCTGCGACTCAAGCTCCTGCCCTGGCTTGCCTGGCTTGCCTGGCTCCTCGCCTGGCTTTGCACCTTGCCCAGGCCCGACACATGCACCTCGACGTCGGGGCCAGGCTAGGAGGTGCAAAGCAAGAAAGACCAGGCCGCCAGAAAAATCCAATCGACCGAAGCAACTGCTACCTTGCCGTGCGCGCGCCCGCGTGTGTGTACATGCGTCTCTTCGGTCGTTCCTTCCCCACGACGATCTTTGTCGTTTCCTCACCTCCTCACCTTCCTTCCATCTCCTGCTGCTGCTCCTCCCTCCCCCGAACCTTCTCCGCATTTCAGGGTGCAGCTGGTTCTTTTAATACCTTGCCTCCTCCTTCTCCTCGTCTTCCCATTCCGACCCTGCCCCATCATCATCACGACAGGAAAACCAGAACCACCAACAGCCAGGTCTACGGTACTCGGCTCTCGGTCTCCCCTGATCTTGGTCTGAATCTGGATCGACGCTCGCTTTGCCCGATCACTCTTCCACTCGACCCGACTCTCTCACTCACTCACTCTCTGTCTGTCTCACGCAGACACCCTGCACTGCAGCTCGGGTACGGCACTCATCTAGCCGACCACTCAGTCCCCCAGCCTGAACCTGAACCAACCGAGTTCAGTGCCGGACGCCACCGCGCAGTACCACCCCAGATCCCCAATTGGGAAATATCTCAGTGCGACGCCTCACCACCATGGCCGACGCTCACAACACCACCCCCGCCACGGCGGTTCCCGCCGCCGCTGCCGACAACCATGTTCACGGCGACACGGCCGCCTCGGTCGCCGATTCCGCGAGCTTCCCCGCTCAGTCGATCCCCCGTCCTGCCGGCTGGGTCTACAAGGGCTGGCGCATGTTCGGCCGTGAGTACTGGTACGCCTCGCCGCGCATCCAGCTCTTCATGGTCTCCTTCGTCTGCTTCCTCTGCCCAGGCATGTTCAACGCCCTCAGTGGTCTCGGCGGCGGTGGCCAGGTCAACCCCAAGGCCGCCAACGACGCCAACACGGCCCTCTACAGCACTTTTGCCGTCGTCGGCTTCTTCGCCGGCTCCTTCGCCAACCGTCTCGGCCTGCGCATCACCCTCTCTCTCGGTGGCATCGGCTACTGCATCTACGCTGCCAGCTTCCTCTCGTACAGCCACACCCAGAACCACGGCTTCGTCGTCTTTGCTGGCGCCTTCCTCGGTGTTTGCGCCGGTCTGCTGTGGGCCGCCCAGGGCGCCATCATGATGTCCTACCCGCCCGAGAACGAGAAGGGCCGCTACATCTCCTGGTTCTGGATGATCTTCAACCTCGGCGCTGTCATTGGCTCGCTCATCCCTCTCGCCGACAACATCAACAGCCGCAGCGGCCAGGTCAACGACGGCACCTACGCCGCCTTTATCATCCTCATGTTCCTCGGCGCCGTCATTGCCCTGTTCCTCGTCGATGCCGGCAAGGTTCAGCGTGAGGATGGCTCCAAGGTGATCATGATGAAGAACCCCTCGTGGAAGTCGGAGCTTCTCGGCCTGTGGGAGGGCATCCGCGACCAGCTCTGGATCCTGCTCCTGTTCCCCCTGTTCTTCACGTCCAACGTCTTCTACACCTACCAGAACAACGGCATGAACCTCATGCACTTCAACATTCGCACCCGCGCCCTCAACAGTCTGCTCTACTGGCTCGCGCAGATCATCGGTGCCCTCGTCATGGGCTACGGTCTGGACTTCCCCGGCGTGCGTCGCTCGTGGCGCGCCCGCGGCTCCTACATTGTCCTCATCGTTCTGACCATGGTCATCTGGGGCGGCGGCTGGGCCTGGCAGAGCAAGCAGCTTCCTCGCGAGGAGGCCAAGGGCGACATTGACTGGACCGACGGCGGTGAGCGCTACATCGGCCCCATGTTCCTGTACTTCTTCTACGGCTTCTTCGATGCCGCCTGGCAGACATCCATCTACTGGTACGTGGCCCTGTGGAAACGACCCGATGCCATCAGTGACTGACTCTCTTCTAGGTACATGGGTTCTCTCTCCAACTCGTCTCGCAAGGCTGCCAACCTCGCTGGTTTCTACAAGGTATGCAATCGTTCCACCCCCCTGCTTCGCCCGACACTCATCTAACATAACCAGGGTATCCAATCTGCCGGCGCCGCCGTCTTCTGGCGCCTCGACGGTCTCGAGACGTCCTACGACGCCATCTTCGGCGCCACCTGGGGCATGCTCGGTGCTGCCCTTCTCATTGCCGCTCCCGTCATCTGGATGCGCATCAAGGACACGACCGATGTCGAGGAGGATCTCCGTGGCACCGACGAGACTGTTGAGGATGTCGTCGCCCCCGGCAAGCTGGCTGAGGAGGAGAAGCGTGCTGCTGTCGTGTAGAGCTGCACCCAGGATTGATTGAATAGGTGGTCTGTCACGAGTCGAGAGATGGTGATGACGGCCATACAACGTGTGTCATTTCATTAGTCGCAACTTTCCTACGGGAAATGTCATGATTTGATTTAGTACGATTGAAGATTGAGCATCTTTGACCGGCATGTGATATGCTCTCTCAAACCCCCGTAGTACGGGTCTAAAGTGATTTGTACTCTGACAGCCCCAACAGCCGCATCGTCCCTAAGCCTTCTTGGCTCCCCAAATGTCTCTCCACATCTCCTTGAACCCGTATCTCGGGGCCTTGTTATCGTACACCCTCGCGTGGCCCTCGCCGCCAAGCTGCGCAAACATGCTCGGCGGCCGTGGGGCGCCTTGGCCCTCGGCAAGCAGCGACCTCGCCGGCCGAAGCCCCCGATCTCGAATCATATCCGGCAGCAGCGGCGCGACGTCGGCGTAGCAGGCCTTGAGCTCGCGTTCCAGCGAGTAGTAGGGCTTCTTCGCCAGCTCCGGCGCCATGAGGTTGTAGGACCGCGTCAGACTGTTGAGCGTTTCCACCGACAGCGTCAAATACGACCGTTCGGCCGCCTCCCACGCCGGATCGCGGAAGATGGCACCAACATGCTCCGCCGAAGCTTCCACGGGCGCTGCCCCTTGCGCCGCCGCTGCAGCCTCGTCCTTGCGCCGCCGCGGGTTAACCCTCGCCTCCGCAGCGGCAAACCCGTCGGCCCGTGCCGCCTGCGCCGTGACATCGCCCCCCGATGCGGCAATCATGCGCGCCGCGTGCCGCGCCCAGTCGCCGCGCAGACGGGCGCGGAAGGCGGCGACCTCGCGCACGACCTCCTGCTGCTTCTCGATCCACGGCGTCACGATGCCCTGG